CCCAGCCATTCAAGGGGGTTCGCAGGGACACTCCAAAGGGATTTTTTTTTTTCCTTTTTCTTTTTTTGGGTGGAAGATATTAAAGAGGTATCTGTTGTTTGGCAATTTTGCTAAGTCTGTCTTCATTACTTCAACATTGTGCATTTGCTAATTTGGAAGCCCCTTCCTATTGACAGCTCTGCTCCATACACCTGCAAGCAATTTGCAGAGCTCCAATATAGGAGAATTGCAGAGATGGCAGCTCGCACCTATTTTATTTTTTTTTCTTCGCTTTTCTCAATGCACAGCAAATTTGGCTTTCAGTGCGTTATCTCTTTTGTTAATGCAAAAAGATTCCCTGGGCGAAAAAATTGCTCATAATTACCAGAGAGATGGGGAAACTGCATTAGAATAAATAAACCTGAAATTACTGTAATTATGTTGTGTTTGATGGGCTCGGCTTGTAATCAAGAAGAGAATACAGTGAAATGATGCTGACCCTCTTGGGTTTGCAGCTGTACGCGCACTTTGGGGTCTTTTTTTGCAGAAAAGAGTCATTTTGATCATCATTAAGCTGTGTGTAACCTATTTCAGAAGTGTTTGAAAATGAGGGGCACTTTTTTTTTTTTTTCCAACAAGGAAAAAATATATCCCAAAATTACATTTTGCTATTTACAGGCTCATCCATAAGGTTGTGTTTGCGGGGTGACAATTGTTAAAGGTATAATATTCGAAATCAGGACTTAATCATTGTAATGAGGTATTGTTTCAATATAAGCACCTTTGGATTATTCATAGTTTAATTAATATCCTCATTATGAAAATCTTCGAATCAGATATTTGATGAACTACTTGTCAGCAACAAGGCAGAATTAATTAGGCCTGTATTGAGATTAACATTTTCAAATGTAGGATTATAATAGACTCTAACTCAAGACCGCCTCGCTGAGAGAAAACTAATAATTTCTCTATTTGAACTGTTAGCAAGACGTTATTGAATTAGGAGAAGCTAATATATCTTTAAAGCGCTCCGAGCCGCTTGACCACCCCGTTCCCGTCCGGTCAAAGACGTTTGGTCTCCGGCAGCGGCCGGCGCGGGAGCTGCGCGGGTGCCGGGGGGCTGCGGGGCCGCAGAGCCGCTCCGCTGGGGGCTTCGGGCTGCTCGGGACCGGGCTCGGGCCGTGGCACCGCGGGAAATACAGAGATGGGACTATTTTCCGGGTCGGATCCAGCGTCCCCGCCGACCGCCGCGTGTGCGCGCCCGGGCGGAGGCTGCGCCGCCGCGCACCGGACCCGCGCACCGGGGAGCGGGTGTGTGCGGCGGCGAACG